GGCTATTATTATTAAAATAATATTGAATATCAGAGTAAAAAAAAACTGAGCTCTGATAATTGGAATAACTATTGCCCAAATTTTATTATAGCTTCTAATTATTTTTGTTTGCCTGTAGCTTAAAGTTTAATAGAAACATAATTCTCAACAAAGATGTCTTACATATGAATGTAGTTCCAGCATATTGACATGATAACAAGACTGGACATAGCTGATATTTAAGAGGAGATAGGTACACTCTAGTGCTCCAGTTGTAGACAAATCCACGTGAGGAACAATCCACAAATCCACACTACATTAACAACACTTAGGCCAAAATACTGCAGATAGCTACCAAATTCCTTTGCCAAATATTCTTCAAGTTTTTCAAATTAAAAATTTGGGGTTCAGAGGCCCCAGTTGGCAGCTCAGCAGCATCACCTTGCTCACCCCTGTGCCCCCATCCCAGCACACACACACCTCTCCTCCCTCTTCACTCACAGGCAAAAAGATTTTGTTAAGATTGGATTGGGGCATCCTCTATGGATAGCCTAAACCTGCAATCACCCATCTGTGAACAGGGAGGCTTTCCTCCAAAATTACATTTTCAAACCCAGAATTGGGAAATATGGAGAAACAGGCACACATTACAACATATTATAAATTAAGAATACCTTCGGAAATCAAGAACCTGCAATAAGTCAGGACAAAACCAGTACTATTTCTTTATAATTTCTTTATTTTACCGGTATTCCCTGTTTGTTCATCACTGGGAATGCAGAAAATTAGAAAGGTGGTAGAATGATAAGGAACCCAGCACCAGAGCAACCCTGGACCCTGTTTCCTATAATGCTGGCCACTAATGGTGATTATGCTCCAAATAACATGGACTGGACACCTGAAACTGCAAGGCTGCTACCCATTTGGCCCCATGTAATGTCCATCTGGAGAATATCATCCCACAAGATCACAACCGCTGTTAACCTAATAATGGCCCTCACCATAAGGTTTGTAGGCTCTTGTAAACACCATAAGAATTGCTGGCAACCACCCAAGGCATTTTCTCTAGTGAGTCAGCCCACCTTGTATAAGAAGCCCTTCCTAGTTCTGTCTCCTGCTTCATTCCAAATATCCAGACACTGAGATCCAGCAAGTCTCCTGGTTAGCCAGTGCTAGAGATGTGCCTCAGATTTTACAGATAAGAAAACTCAAATTCAGAGAAGTTGAGAAACATGTCCACATAAAGATCAGTGAGACATACATAAACTGGGGCATGGTGGCAAACCTCAGAGTTACTGCAAAACTTAGACTTAATGAAAGAGTATGATATTGAAAGAACACAGACTTTGGAGTCAAATAGATCTATTAGAATCCTGGCTCAGTTACTATCTGCATGATTGTCCATGATTAACACGTATGACTCTCAGTTTTCTTATCTCTAAAATTGGGATAATGCCTGCATTATCTACAGCTGCATAACAAACCTGAAAACAACAGTGTCTATTATCTCATAAATTCTGCAGGTCAGGAATCCTGGTGTGGCCCAGTTGGGAGGCTCTAGCTCAAGGTCTCTCTTGAGGTTGCAGTTAACATGTGAGCCTCATCTGAAGGCTCACCTTGGGGAGAATCACTTCCAAACTCACTTATCTGATGGGCAGGACTCAGCTGTTAGCCAGCTGTTGGACTGATGACCTCAGAAGCCTTCCTCAGTTTCTTACCACAGAGCAGTTCACGCCACATCAGTTGGCTTCTTTCAGAGCAAGCAAGCTAGAGGGTGAGAAAGGGCTCCCAATAACCTATAAGAGGTATAACCTAATCTCAGAAGCTTCAGCCTTGCATTTCTCCCATATTCTGTTCATTAGAAGTGAGTCATTAAATCGAAACCAAACTCAAAGGGAAAGATTACAGGAGGGCATGGATACCAGGAGGCAGGGACCAATGTGAGTCATTGTGCTGCCTACCACAATGCCTTTAACTGAAGAGTTAAACAATAGAACCGTACTTAAGTATCCCATGCATAGTATGAGCTTACTAAATAACAAATATTAGTGAATTAAGACTTCTGGCAAAGAATCCTAACCTCAAAGCCACAAATTTTTACCTCCCCAAGAAGGTTTGATAAACCCTAAGTTACCTAAAGTTACCTAAACGTGTTACTATTTGATGACCAAGATGGTTGTGTTTAATTATATTTCAGAATAAGTTTCAGCTAATGGAACAGAGATTTCTAAAATGTGTACTCAACATATGAGAAAGAGAAAAATCATAGGGTAAGGGCAGTGTTCCCAGTTGCTAGGAGAGCAAAATCCCTATAGAGATTAGTAATTTTGAAGGCAATGCTTAATAATAACACTTATTTTTAACTGTAGTATTAGTAGAAACCATCAGTTACCTAAAGTGTTGAGACTGGAGTCTGCAGCACTTGTATTTTCCAGAAATAACATTAAGAAAACTTAGTTTTTCATGAAGGACATTCATTCCTGAAATGCAATCCTCTGACAACTCTGAGGCTCCTACTAAGAGTTATTCAAATTACTTGGTTCTACATATGATCTAATATATATATCATGCATTGGGATTATTTCTCAACATGTCTGTTTCCCTGAGAAGGCATACACTTGTCCAAAAGACTATTTTGAGTGCAAGGTCCTTGCTTTAGTTTTATTTACATCCTCAAGTCCCAGCACAGTGCCTACACTTGTAAGCTACTTGAGAAACGGTTAAAAGTTGCTGAATAGTCTCATTTCTCCCCTTTTTAAAAATAATTCAGATTAAGATGCTTAGCACTCATGGTCTCATAGGGCTTTTTTTTTTTTTTGGTATATTAGGTGAGATTTAGTAACATTTTTTGAGACAGGATCTCACTTTGTCTCCAGGCTGGAGTGCAGTGGCACAATCTTGGCTCACAGTAGCCTTGACCTTCTGGGTTCAAGCAATCCTACTCCCTCAGCCCCTCAAGGCACTGGGACTACAGGTGCACACCACCATGCCCCAGTAATTTTTGTATTTTTTGTAGTAATGGGGTTTCACCCTGCTGCCCAAGCTGGTCTTGAACTCCTGGGCTCAAGCGACCCACCCACCTTGGCCTCCCGAAGTGCTAAGATTACAGGCATGAGCCACTGCACCTGGCTTCAGTAATTTTTTAAAACATTCATTTGAAGATCTGAAAATGAATTTGTCATAAAAATCCAGTTCTTTAAAACTTACATGAAATAGTTTTATAATACAGTTCCACAGGAAACTACTAAGCATATTAAATATCCGGAGTTCTCAAATTTCTTTCCTCTATGTTTTCTAATCCTTAAAACGGTGATTTTGACAGTATAACAAAATAGATTTCTTTAAAAGTGAATATTGAGTACAGATGAAATACGCTGTCTAGGAATGAAAAAATGGCCATGGATGTGAATTTTCCGACATGAAAAAAAGGAGCAATCAAGTTCAGGAATCTGTTGTCATATATCAAGGGACAGTTCTATATTTCTGTTATAACGTTGATTTCTGGGCCAGGCATGGTGGCTCACGCCTCTAATCCCAGCACTTTGGGAGTCCGAGGTGGGTGGATCACGAGGTCAAGAGATTGAGACCATCCTTGTCAACATGGTGAAACCCCGTCTCTACTAAAGATACAAAAAATTAGCTGGGCATGGTGGCGCGTGCCTGTAATCCCAGCTACTCAGGAGGCTGAGGCAGGAGAATTGCCTGAGCCCAGGTGGTGGAGGTTGCGGTGAGCCAAGATCGCGCCATTGCACTCCAGCCTGGGTAACAAGAGCGAAACTCCGTCTCAAAAAAAAAAAAAAAAAAATGTTGATTTCTTGTTAAGTTTCCAACTTTCCCTGTCAGTGAATTCAGACTTCCTCATTTCACTCCCCATTTGTCAACAGATGCTGTGTTTCAAGCTGGAGCAAAAGATTCTTTTTTTGAGACGAAGTTTCACTCTTGATGCCTAGGCTGCAGTGCAATGGCATGATCTTGGCTCAGTACCACCTTCGCCTCCTGGGTTCAAGCGATTCTCCTGCCTCAGCCTCCCAAGTAGCTGGGATTACAGGCGCACAACACCACATCCTAATTTTTGGTATTTTAGTAGAGACGTGGTTTCACCATGTTGGCCAGGCTGGTCTCAAACTCCTGACCTCTGGTGATCTGCCCACCTCAACTTCCCAAAATGCTGGGATTAGAGGCATCAGCCTCTTGTTGTCCTTTAACCCTTCTTTCCTTTACTTTTCTCATGTTTCCTATCCTCTCACTTTTTTCTATCTGGTCTTCACTTTGTACTTTTATCCACACCCCTATATCTTTCTTTTTCTCTTCACTCCCCTTCTATATTCACCACCTGCTCTATTTTATAATGCAATTTTCTTTTTACTCATTCATTATTGAATCCTCTTTTCTTGCCAGTCCTGCTTCTATCTTCAGCTGGTCATCTTCATTTTTCAAAGTCTGTGCTTAAATGAGCATGTCAGTGTGTGTGTGTGTGTGTGTGTGTGTGTGTGTGTGTGTATGTGGTGTTGGAGGGGGGCAGGTAGGAAAAAAGAGACAATAGTTGGTGTTTATTACAACTTCATATTTTCCTATTTCAATAATTTGAGTATCCACTGTTAAGCAGAAAGCTTGCCTCCCCTGCTCTCTGCCTATCATCATGTTCCCAGCTCTGATCCCACTCTTTTAAAATGGCATTGAATTTAGTGAACAGGAGCTAGAGACAGTAAATGGAAGGCATCACATCAGAGCACTTAGTGAAATAAACTGGACTAAGAGAAAGCAGTACACTACTTACGCCCTTTGTGATGGTGATTCCTCAGAATGAAGTAAAAAGGACAGGCAAGAAAGAACAAGAGTACAGGCTGAATTGGACTTGGCGCAACACAGAAGAGGCAAACCCATCACATTCCAATTACCAATCTAGAAATAGTGAACTTAAGAAACTGACCCAGCCAGGAAATATCCCATGGTTGATGGTTGAAAACATTAGTGCATGGAGGATAAACATTATAAACAAGGAGTCATTTTCCATCTAATTATTTTAATCATTTTGTCAAAAAATCTGAAATGTGTACATAAATACTTGATTTGTTAAAATAATGTATAGCATAGAAATCCCTGAGACACATTCAAAAATGACTTGACATGTATTCAGTACAAGGATTCACCAAACTACCAAGGGCTGGGCTCTTTTCCCTGATATCTGAGGCATATAATGCTTTAAAAAATATATAGTATACTATATATGTAATTTACATCTTTAAAGCTAAATCAGATTCTCTGATTCCTGGTTTTCTGCCAGTTTACTTGTCAGTTCCAGACTGTAAGGAAGCCACATTGGAAAGCAGATTAGCACTTTCAACCCTAGGGTGCCAGTTAGTAGAATGATAGCAAGTGGAACTAGGAGGTCCCAAGAGATGATTTTGTCTAATCAGCTCATTTTGCAGTTCATGTGACAGAGGCTCAATGGGGTTGTGATTTGTACAACATGGCTGGTTCTGCTACTGCTACTGTAATCATATACAAGTCCTTCAGTGAGCCTGGACCTTGGCTCCTTCCTTGGGAAAATGGACTGATGGTAATCACAGCGAATATTTTCCAGGTGCTTCCTACAAGCCAGGCACTATCCTAAGTACTTTAAATGTCTAATCTGTTGTCTCAACACCTACATAAATTATATAAGCAAAGCTTAAAGTAGTTACTCTCTGGAAAACTATTTGCCAATCCCCAGTATAGTTCCTTGAAAATTTAGAACATCTTATAATTATATAGCACTTTACAATATACAAAGCACCTTGGCATATATCATCACATTTAATCCTTGTTTTGTAGGGAGATGAGCAATCATGCATTATAAAGAGAAAGTTAAAACCCAAGAGTTTAAGTAACTTGCTTCATCAAGGCCACAGGGGCAGAAAATGGTAGAGTCACATACCCAGGTTCTGATTCCAAACTGCAAGCTCTTTACATGAAACCACCCCGTCTCCCCTAAATTACTGGTAGGGAAAGACGTGGAAACTGGAAAGAACCTATGAATACTGAAAGAAAGTCAGATTTTCTTCTGATACAAATGTCATTCCAGATGCATTTATGTAATTAAAGTCATCAAGTACTAAAAATACTAAATTTGTAATAAATTTAAGGGAAAAGCCTTAAGGGAGGACATGACAATCATAGAAAAAGCATTTTGAAATACATACAGTGAATTGATATGCATTTTTCTTAAGGTATGTTAGAGCTGAACCTACTCAGTTTCGTATATGGAAAATAAAATGAGCAATTGCCACATTTATCTTGCTCTCTGATGAGATTAGTGTTGAAAAATTGTTCCATATTAACAACTTGTATGTGAATAAAAATGCAATGGCTGGGCACAGTGGCTCATACCTGTAATCCTAGCACTTAAGGAGGCTGAGGTGGGTGGATCACGAGGTCAGGAGTTCAGGACAAGCCTGCCCAAAATGGTGAAACCGCATCTGTACTAAAAATACAAAAAATTGGCCGGGTGTGGTGGCAAATGCCTGTAGTCCCAGCTGCTCAGGAGGCTGAGGCATGAGAATCGTCTGAACCCAATACGCAAAAGTTGCAGTAAGCCAAGATCACAACACTGCATTCCAACAGGGAGAAGAGTGCAAGACTCCATCTCAAAAACAAACAAAAAAATGCATTTATACTTTCCTCATGCTAAATATTCTATAAAAACATGGTTAGTTTTAAATGGACTTAATACTAAAAAATTGGTAAAATAATAGACACTAATTTAACGAGAGAGCTTTACCAAAACAAAACAAAAAAATTCTTTTCAAAGAAAGCCTAAGTGCTTCTTCTAGTTTGCAAGTTCAAGCTTAATCTAAATGGTAATCATGATTCTTGAAATATGGCTTAGCTATAGGGACTCGTTTGAAATATACGATATGAGGCACCATCCTTTTTATTTCAGATTCATTCTACAAAATACCTTGAGATTTCATTTTAGACCTATAAATAGAAATGAGGACATCTTGAAATCACTGCAAGCAAAGAAGGAAGATAGAAAATCAATGATTGGGTATCTGCAATTTTGGGTACCTTCATTTACTTGCTGAAATGCTCAGAATGAGCTTGTGAAGTATTTTCCTCAGTGATTTTAGAGATGAGGAAGCTGAGGCTCAGGGCTACGACTAATTTACCTAATGTCACATAGCTGGAATTCAAATCTAAACTACGTTACCTTCAATACCTGAACTCTTTCCCACTGCCCCATGTAGAATCCCAGCAACACCAAGATCACTGACTGTTACCTCATAAAAACTCATGTTAAGAATAGAACTTTTATCTTTATTGAGTGGCTGGCACTTGTAATTGTAATTCCGCCCGCTATAATACTTTAATGAGGACATTTTATCCACAGCTTTTCATTTCTCCTTTCAAGAAAGAGAACTGAAGCACCTAGATTTAAGTGAGGTTTTCAAGTATGTCTGCAAAAAAATGTAGAGGTAAAACTTGCTTTATGATTTAGATAATTGCACTAATCAAATACAAACGACTATTTACAGCAGAACTCTGTATAAAACTTAGTTAATCTTGACTCTACCCACAGTAATTAGTCACTGAATGTCCTTATTCTAATAAGTGGAGGAGAAAACTCACAATATTCCAAGCTTTAAGTCAACTAGCTTTCTAATAATGATTTATGGCATCATTAAGACAGTCACAGTAATCAATCAGGTCCTGCCAATTGTTTTATCAGTCCCTATTTACTTTTTGGAAGTGACAGATTGTAAGAGCCCTAAAAAGGAGGACCTTGTCTTGTATAATTCTCTATCTTCCCTAGGGCTCCAAGCTCAGTATTTGGCACAGAATAGGCACATAGTGGCACGTGCTGAATATGCTGCTCACTCAGTAACTTGTCAAGTCAATGCATGTAGGTTCAAGTTTGGTTCCATAGCACAGTCTCAAGGGCCCTGGAAATGTGAGGATATGCTATATTACTACATTGACTACAAGGGGAACCTGCTGGCATCAGGGAGAAGTGCAGATTTAGCCTTCAACAAGAGACAGAGTAAGTTAATAGTAGGCACTGATGTAGTTCCTAGGATCTAAACATTTAAGAACTGACAGAGATAAACAAAAACTGTCACTTACAGACATCATGAAACTTTTTTTCCTTTTACATGATTCCATAATGTAGTGTAGTACCTTTCACTGTTCTGCAGAGGGTAATACCAGCAGCCCTGCAGGACTGGCATTCCAGTTTAAATTTCAGGTCCAGAAAAGACATGAAATAAATAATTTTGTGGAAATGACACTGTGGCTTCCTTTTCTTCTGTCTGTAAACAAACGCTGGTTTTCTGGGAGGAGGGAAGAGGGTTGCTCCTGCTTTATTTTCACCTCTGTGATTTTACTATACTTTTAAAAAAAATCCAGGGTATAGAAAAACATAAAGACAGAATAAATAAATTAGGAAATGGTTATTCACATTGTAAAGGGATGATTCTCCATAGGGTTTCATTAAATACTGAACTCCCCTAAGTCAATGAATTTGGGACTTGATTTAAATGCAGCTTTTCAGGAATACATTTCTTAGGTAAAGTGAGGTACACCCATGTATTCATCTTAATTTTCCTCCAAGGACAATCCAGCATTTTGCTTCCATTCACAGGACAGGGGAACAGATAGTACTTGTTAATCAAGTCAGAGGCCCCTCTTGGACTACTCTCCTTACCTTTCTCAGGAGCCAAGGCTGTGAGGAATCTAAACAACCCACTGCAGCCACAGTCCTTCCACTCTCCACCAACAAGCCTCCTTCTAAAACCAGAGATTTGCTTCACGGTCCAGAAAAATGTGAGTTGGGAACAGTGTGTATGCGATTTAGAGGCTGCACGGGACACAAATATGGCCTGTGGTAGACGAGGAAATTTAGAGAAACCGCCTCAACGGCTTCTTGCAGCTAAGCGATTTCATCTCTGCACTGGTTACAAGGTGAGGAACAGCCCCCTCCTTTACCCCTAAACAATGATGCCCATCAACAACAAAGGGAGCCCAAGTGCTAGCTCTGCAAAAAATATGGAAACTGAGCCCCCATTTCTGTGCTGAGTAATAGGGTAAATCGCGTTTTTCCCATAGAGCAAAAATGGGTGTTTGAGGAACTTAGTCCCATGATTCAGCAGTCAAGACGATGCACATTAGAGGATCAAAAAGCTGACAACTTGGCCTCCCCCGGGTTACTTCCAGGGGAGGGTGGCCTCACCGCTCAAACCAGCTGGCCAAGTTGCGTATGCTTTTGGGTTGGTCCCCAGCCCTCTGCAGAGCCTGGCAGACCCGGCACCAAGGCTCGTCCCAGAAGGAGGTGATGTGGACAGCGTAGCTCCGGCGCCAGTGGAAGTAGCGGAGATAGACGGCAGGGTTGCGGTCGAGGAAAAGCAAGTAAGTGGCCAGGGAGGAGGCACTTGGGAAGTCGTCCACGTGGATGAAGGCGCCGCGGGGCATGAAGCGCTCATAGTTGGCACGGTCTGGGCCCAGCACCACTGGCACCGCCCCGGCGAGCAACGCGTTGCGCCAGAGCTTCTCAGTGATATAATCCAGGTGCTGCGAGTTCTCGAAAGCCAGGTAGAACTTGTAGCGGGCCACTGTGTGCAGGAGCCCGCTTTCGGGCACCGGCTGCCCGGGCCCGCCTCGCCCGAACACGTCCACGGCCACGTGCTGGCTCAGCTGGTGGTAGTAGCGGACCCGGGCCTGGCGCTCGTCCCAGTGGCTCACCACCCAGGCCACCAGCCCCTGTTTCCGGGACAGTGGCGGGGCCAGGCCCGACGGCTGTTCGCCAGGGTGGCTTCTGGGGTAGAGGTAGCCATAAGGCACGAAGACGTCCGAGTCCACCCGGTAGGAGAGCGTCCAGTTGAAGAGGTTACTTGCCAGGCTTCGCAGCCCCGGGGAGTGCGACGGCGACTCGAAGTTCATCCAAACCCAGCGCTGCCCCGGGGGCCTGGGACCCAAGGTCACCAGGGCTTCAGTCACCGCCGCCGCTGCCGCTGCCTCCTCGTAGTCTAACACGCGCAGCTCCAGCTCCTCCGCAGTGCGCGCCTGGACGCCCCAGGGCGGGGGCCAGTCGGGGGGTCCCTTCACGAGGTCGCGGTGGTGGAAAAGCACTGCCTGAGCTTCTCCATAGGTGGCGCGGTCGGTGAGCGGGCGGCAGCCGCTAATGTTGAAGCGCAGCCGGCAGTCTGGGGGCGGCCTCGCAGCGCCGCCGCGCCTCCCGAAGGGCTCCCACCACAGCAGCACGCCCACCGGCCGCGGCGGGGTCGCCGGCTGCTGGGTCGGCGGCGGCGGGGTCGGTGACGCCCAGCGCAACGGCGGCAGCTGACCCCAGCAGGCGTAGGTGATCAGCGCGGTACACGTCAAGCCGGCGGCCGCCAGCACCCATATGGTCCACGGCAGCCCCCGTCCTCGGCGCCACCCGCGCCGCCCGCCCGCCGCTGCCGCAGCCGCCAGCGAGCCCGACGGCACCCCCATGGCGCGAACAGGCAGAGTTGCCTCGGCTCGCCACGCGTCCGCAGGCGTGGAGGAGCCGCACCGGCTCTCATGCTGCCGCTGCGGCTCCAGCCGTCTCTGCCGCTCGCCGCTGGCCCGGGAGCGGGAGGGGGCGGTCCGGGAATCCGAAGGCCGCGGGCCCAGCCCGGCTCCTCCCGAGTGCTGGGCGGGGCCCGCTGCCAGGGCAAGGTGAGCTGGCCAGGAAGCCCAGCCGGGCGCCCCCCATCCCTTCCCTCCACGGCGCCCGGGGCCCGGCCGGCCAGACCAGGCCCCGGGAGCCTCCTGTGGCGCCTCTGCCCACTCCTCCCATCCCGCGCCGGAGGGCTCCCGGGCCGCACCCCACAGGCGCCTCATCCGCTACTCTGATTCTGTCTCAGCTGAAACAGTCTCCCTCTGGGCACGCCCACCGCCCGGAACTCGCTCACGGTGGCCCGAACCCTCGCTTCCAGAGGGAAGCCCCGGTTCATCCCTGGGAAGGTGCAGGGGCCCCGAGACCTTCCAAAGCCGCTGCAGCGCAGGAGCAGGCGCTGGAACAGACGGAAGGCCGAACGGGCGCCGCTGGACGGAGGATCCGCGTCTGCTTCCTGCGGCTAGGCCCAGCCACCAGCCAGCGACGCCGCCGGAGGGAGGGATTGAGGGAGGGAGGGAGTCCAGAGGCCGCGGGAAAGTGCGAGCAGAGGCGCAGCCACAGCGTCCGTGGTCAGGACCTCGTGGCCGGTCGAGACGGGCGGGATGTGGAGGCAGCCCCCAGAGGCGCGGCCTTCACAGACTGTGCATTTAGTGAAACTTAAGTTTTCAATGTGAGTGTTTTTAAAGAACATTCCCTTTGCCTGCCAGCCCAGTAAAGGATAGAGAACAAAACATTTTCTTAGCAATCAAAACAAGTTCCTTCCTTTCGTCCCCTACCCAATAGGTCTGACTTTCCGGCTCATAGTAGTATTCCTTGTTCCAGGTCGCTCAGGACTCATAAACCAAAGATGAAGATGTGCCCCCCCGAGGCTCTTGGCATCAAGGAATTTATTGCTTATTCAGTGAGACGAATGAATGAATGAACATCACTGTTGATTTTACCTATCACTTAAGAAACAATTTCTGCACTGATGAAAGTTATGCAAAATACTTTGGATTATAAAATGATGATGAAGATAAATACTCTAGCACCCAAGTTAAGGGTATAAAGACATTATCACACTGGCCTCTTCTGCTTTATTAGTGAGTCGACACTGGAGACATCTACGTCCACAGTCACTTGAGAAATTTTTTACCTACGGGTTGAATTTAAATTTCTGGATTTTGGCTTTGGTTTTTGATATTCAACATTTATTCAGGGGATAAATAAATAGATCAGGGCGGGGCTGCTGACCTAAGGAGAGGAGGTAGTTTTGAGAGAATTTATAGATCACAGCTGTTCAACAGTGGAGTCCCAGCCTAGTGTGTTAAAAGTTACAGGATATTAGGGGAGAAATAATATTGCTGGGAATGGGGCAATCCTGCCAGGTGTTTTTAATTTTATGCCTATGGAAAACAAACTTGGATTAGCCATATGAATTTATTGCTAAGAATGTTTTCATTAAAAATCAAGTATAGAGTGTAAAACCTTCTATAAAAGTGGTTTCAGGTGGTGCTGTCTGCAGGGCCGCAGCCTGTTTGGAGGGTGGATGGAGGGTGTTAGGTGTTCTGGCTAGGCCCATCAACCTAGTGACATTTCCTCCTACACACTAAAATCTTTCATAATGTTTCTAGGTTTTTGTTGGTGGTGGTGGTGGTGGTTGGTTTGTTTGAAAAGCAGAAATCAGAAATCAAATATTTTATTTGAAATTGGACATTCCAGTGACTTTTCCACTCTTATTTTTAACTGCAAAAGCTATAAATGCACAAATAATTGGTTTCAGTCAAATAAAGGAAAAAGTTATTGGCTTCTCTTTTTATGCAATTCAGAAATCCAGCCGTTTATTCACATTCTTCTCCCACTTAGGTTAAATAAGACATCACAGATAGAGCCTACCATTGTGCCCAGAACATGGCTGGTAGGCATTTGGGAAATGTTTTCCTGCTTGATTGCCTCCTTCCCCTACTCCCAATTTTCTTTTAAGCCTCCAAATGTTCTATATAAGCCATCTTTTTACCTGAAGAATGCCCGAGCTGTGGTGCACATCAGTTTTCTTTGTGCTCACTTACCTTGTTAGGGTTGAGACCACAAAGTGCCCTACTAAGCCTTAGTTGGTATGAGAGGAGGGGATACTAGGCAGTAAGGTGTGGCTGGATCAATGAAAACCAGTCATCACTTTGCAAACTGCTGAGTGAAAGTCATATGTGGTTATTGTGCATCTCATACATGTACAAACATTCACAGGGAACTGGATTGTTCTTATTTTAAAAGAACCACTGGTGGGGTAGAGGGGAGGGAAAGCGAGGAAAGGAATTATGGGAAAGTAATAAATTTACTCACTCATTTAACAAATTGGGAAACAAATGGAAAACACCTTTTCTATCTTCAAAAATCCACGAGAGAAACAGATAGTGGGAAGGGAATGGATCATGGAAGACTTTGAGGAGGTGGCTCCTGGAATAATTAGGAATCATTACAATGCAGAGGAAGAGGGCTATGTTAGTCCCCACGGAGGGAGCAGCACTGCAGAGGCCAGGCAGGGAAGACTGAGGCAGTAGGCAAGGAATTACTAGGGTATAGTTTGGCGAAGGAGATGGGGTTTTATCCTGCAGGCTGTCGGGAATGTGCTTGGAAGGCTTTAACATAGGAAGGAAGCAATATTATGAGATTTTACTTTTTAAATGAATTCTTATTTTTATTATGTATCAGGAGGGTGAGTATGTGGATGGTGACTTGAGGAGGGCTACAGAATGCTGGCTCTGTTGGTTAATGTAGGCTCTGGTTAATGAGTATGTGTTGGTTAAGGAAATTTATCAAACTTTATGCTTACATATGTATTTTTATGGGTGGATATTATGCTTTAGAAAAAAAGTTTCTAAGAAAAAAAATTCATTAGTAAAGAGTGAGTTGGGTAAAAACAGGGTAAGAGTAGGGGTGTGGTATTCCCTTGGAAAGTTATTGCTGTAATTCAGATGCGAAATAAAAAGGGCCTGAACTGAGACAGTAGCTGTGAGGATGAGGAAGAAAATTCAAGGAGGATAGATTCAGAGAGATTTAGGAGGCTGGTTCCTTTCTTTAGGAAGCCTTTCTGGATACCCACAAACATACATCCAAGGTAGTTTACATGGCTCTCCTGTGCTGTCTCATACATGTACCATTCAGAACATCACAGGGCATTCAGAGATCATGACTGTTTCATTCATAACTCCATCCTGAGCACCCACAACAAAACCAGGCATTTGGTAGTGTTCATCATCTCATTGAATATTTTTTGAATGAATAAATGCTCTTAATGTATTACTAAAATTAACTGTTGATATCTCTTTCCCCACTACAAAATGGGAAGGCATCTGGCGATTCTGGCTATGTGAATGGCTTGCTATGACGTTGAGATGACCTTTAAGCTTTCGGTGGAAAATATTGTGAACGTATTAATCAAAGTTCTGGGGACAGGCATCAGAAATGTATCAAATTAGGCTGTTCTCATTGGCCAAACCTGCAACATGTGCTCATTCTTGAAGCAATCACTGTAGTCAGGGAATGTGTACTCTCTTTAGACTGTCCTCTGGAGCTAGAATCAATCCCATCTTAATAACAGATGTGGAATAATCTGTTATTCTTGAATAACAGTGCAGGGACATAAGTTACCCAAAAGAAAAAATGAGGAGGTGGTACCTGAAAAAGAGGGAAAGGATGCTGGTTGGGCAAAAACATGTCTGCTACCCACGAGGAAGGAGATATTACTATTCTTAAAATGAAGAGGTTGGACTAAATGAACTCTAAATCATCTTAGATTTGGGACATGGAAGAACGTTCTATGATTCTTTTACATTTGGTGACAATAAGTGATTCTTTGTGCATTTAAAGTCCTCTCTGTTTCCACAGAATATTGCACATAAAGAACTGGCTTTCAGTTGCAAGCGTGAAGACACGATCAGGCATGGAGAAGGTTCTATGGGCCCTGAGGTTGCAAAAGTAGTGTAGCAGAAAGCTCCATAGTTCAAGACTCAATTTATGACACCGAACAAGCAATCAACTCACAACATGCCAAAAGTAACTTATTCAGTTCCAAAATTTTATATTGGACAGGATTCTTTGGGAGCAAGAAACAGGCCAACTGTGGTTCCTTAAATTGAAACTCATTCCTTATTCTTTCTCAGGGAAATAGTTCATTTGATAATAAGACTATCATAGTTCATTTTAAAGCCTCGCGTGTTTCTCATGGAAGAGAGATTTGATGTTTCCTGTGGAAGCCCCAGAATAGGTTCTGACTGCCTAGCTTTCCAGGTGGAGCCAAGCTCTGTCAGCATAAACTCCCTGTGATTCAGGCTACCCTCAAGTGGGTTGTTACCCTTGGTTGGATCTGAGATTTCTGTTACTGAACATTGACTTGCTAACTATGTTTTAAATGTTTTTCCTTGAAGAGAGAAAAAGGCAGTTGAGTACTTTATTATGAACTTACCAGGAAATGATGAGGGTATCAGTGAGCAGGTGTTGGAATGGCTGATCTGTGTGCAAATAGGTGGAGACAGTTGACTTTGTCAGGAACAATTTTTTAACCATGTGTACTTGGACAGATAAGTATGGAATGGACTGTTGGTTAAAAATCAAAAATTGTGTACAATCAATGACATCCACAGTTTATTGTTCATTAGCCTGCTAAATCATTTATAGAAAAATAAAACTGCTGGATGCGGTGGTTCATGCCTGTAATCCCAGCAGTTTGGGAGGCTGAGGCGGGCAAATCACATAAGGTCAGGAGTTTGAGACCAGCCTGGCCAACATGGTGAAAACCTGTTTTCTAAAAATACAAAGAAAAATATCCAGTATACCTTAAACAATCTCTAGGTTACTTATATTACCTAATAAAATGTAAATGCTATGTAAATGGTTGTTATACTCTATTGTTTAAGGAGTAATGACCAAAAAAAAACAGGTCTGTACATATTCAGTAGAGACAGAACCATTCTTTTTTTTTCCCTGAGTATTTTCAATCCAAGTTTAGTTGACCTTGATAATCTAAGGATATGAAACACACAGCTATAGAGGCTAACTGTATTTTCATGATATATATTTCAAGGGTTTACCTCTACATTCTTGTTGTCAAACTACCTTTTCCTAAAATAGAGTTTATTTTGAGTCACACCGAAAAAATTATAGAATACAAGGCTTACACAAAATAAAATTATTTTGACATTGAGAAAAATATGTTAATGTGACAGTGCAATGCCTGACACATGCCTGACACATATTTAATACATATTTATTAAATGAATGAATGAATGAATGCACTATTAATTTTACATTGCTTGAGGCACTAGTGAAACAGTTTAATTTCTGCACTTACAAAGATTTATACAGAAGAATTTGGGCTATAAAATAATGATTGAGGTAAATATTATGGTACCCAAATATAGGGTAAAAATGATAAGTATCACATTGGCCTCCCCAGATCTAATCCAGATTTACAAACACTGTTCCTTGCCACCATCCCAAGTCTACTTGAATCCTCAAATGAGTTAGCTCAAATCCTGTACAGTTTCAGAAACTCAAATATGTGTGGTCTGGGCTTACTGTGATACCTGCTCACAGCACTTCTACGTGGCTGCACCCTAATTCAAGATAGCTGGAGCCTAACTCAGAGAGGCAGACCAACTCTCTCCAGATAGAGGAAGGGATCTTGCCTACCCTCTTCCTCCCCTTTTCTGGACTCATTTCTTACATAGACCTAGGACATGCTTCACAGAAGAAGACAGAGAAATGATGCATTTTCCCTACAGGTCAAGTCATTCTTCTTTGACCACACCAACAGCCAATCAGCACAGAACAGTGGTTCTAACTGGGCTCTGTCGAATTCCTTTCTGTGATTCTTCCTCTACAAGGGCCTGGGGCACTTGTAATATTAAGAAATACTTGTTGGATTGAAGTAGACAAAATCAGGGACACATAGTAGATTTTTGACAAGTATAGAAAATGGAAGGTTAAATGCATGTTGCTTATGTTACAAGGAAAAAAAAACATTTTTGAAGTCAAACAGTCAATTTTATAGTTCCAGATCAAGATTTCTGTGGCCAAATAAACCACAGCCCAGAAGTCTTACACAGTGTTTAAGGGTGAAATCACATTAACAATGCTGGCTGTATTATTTTTAACCACTCCAAAGAAAATGTTTGGTCTGTATTTAATCTTAGTAATGTTTAGTGCAAGTCAACAAACTTTTGGTCTTGGGCTGGGGGAGGGGGGGAGAGAGAGAAAACAAAGACAGAGACAGAGACAGAGAGAGACAGAGAGACATAACAGCATTGCAGGAATAACTGTTCTGGTAGCACCATTGGGCACTGCATGAAAAGATAGCCTCTTTCTTGAGTGAGATCACTGTTCAAACACTTAATTTCCTGGATCATCAGGGAAATAGTGGCAACTCTTAAATGAAAAATGTAGCTGCATTCTGACCACCCATTCACTGAGCCCACTCTTCATCATTTCCACCACTGAATAGCTATTTAGCTTCCTTGGCTCCTTTGAGGCCCTCCCATTTCCCAGTTCACAGTTTGAGAAATATTGATGAAGATTGCTAGTAGAGATTTTGATATGATGACCCTAGTATTTGCTGAGTTACTTAAAAAGATAAAATACTTTCGGTTTTATTTACTTTTATATAATATGGCATGACTCTTTTATCATTAGCAGGCTTAGGGTGCCATTTTCAAAGTGTTTCCAAGAAATGAACTGAGAGTTGTACTATATTGATGTTTGTAGGAGTACATTAGGGCAACATCTTATTTGGGCTTACAAATCTGCAAAAGCTTTAACTTCATTCAGTAATATTTACTGAATGCCAATTATGTGCCAGGCATATGAGATGTAACTGATCTGCCCTTGTGGGACATGGTAGCTATCATGCTCAACCCACCAGTTTTAATTATAGCCTCAAAGCAATTCCACACCTGAATCAAAAGCTTGATGTCTGAAGTTGTGAATGTGTTAGACTTTCAGTAACCCTGACCAGTTGCCTTTTGAAACCATATTTCCTTGATTGCCTTATCAATTCATCCTTTATGACTTCTGTATTGATCAAGTGTTATTGTCAGAGTAAAAAATTAGACACTTGTCTTTGCAACTTTCTCATTCCCATTTACCATTTGTTCAGCAAGGCCTTTCAGAATGTCAACAACAAAAAAAAAAA